TAATAAAATATCATCAGAGCCCAGAGTGCTTGCGAATCTTCCCCTGCACTCTTGCTATCACCAGGAATCCAATGGACATTGTTCGGATGCCTGCAAGAAGCTTGCAAAAATCGGCGCCTCGGGCCGCTACCCGGGCAATGCCGAACGTGACCTGTGGCGAGCTCTGGAGCTACCGCTGGACGGGTGGGTGGCCACGGGTTGACTAATGTTCTTGATTATGCTCCATGATTGAGTACTCATATGGTAGTAACGGAAACATTATTATGATTAGATTATTCAATCATATACATATATATATATACAATATAGTATTACGATAAGAATACCAAACCCATATTCTTATGACTATACCTTTATGTTTGTTGCTATTCGGAGTCCTACTTTGTGTATATTGGTATTAACAATAATAATAATTACAATACTTAATAATATTATTAATTATATTATATTATTATTACATAGAACACTAATAATAAGACGCATGTTGCATCAGGACCTCTACACCGTCGAGATTCCGATCAAAGACCCGGCAGACCGCAAAAGCCGAACAACGATGTCTGTGCCGATGATACTTCCCCACCAGCTCGTGGATTACCTATATGTTCCATGGCAGCTACAAATTGCATTGGTTATATTTATATAGTAATATGTACAGTTCAACCTGGCAGATTCGATGCTTGTCAACACACATACATATACATATATTGTTATTATGACATACCCACATACACATACATATCTATATAAACACACAACTTTCAGCACCACTAGCCTCACCCCATACATGTCCTCCCTCTGTGTGCGAGGCCAGCGGCCTCCTTGTTCTGGATCCTCGAGCTGTGCAAAGGTACTGGCAGCACTTCCATGATGTGGATGCTGCCTGGGCAAAAAACCACCCAGGAAAGTTCTGTAATCCAATCGGCCTATTTGGCGACGACTGCCAATTTACAGAAGCGGGGGACAAGCTCATAGTGCTGCACCTGAACTCTGTGATCCAAGACCGCTGCCATGGAGGAGCGGAATATTACCATAATATCTAATTATTTTACATATGTCTATGTGAGCCTGTATGCATACATGTATATACATATATATATATATATAATAACAATAAAATAAATATCTATACATATATATATATATATATATATATATATGTTTTTATGTGTGTATATATATATATATATAGACAGAGAGAATATATATACTTTATACTAAGCAGATTGAGCAAGATATAGCTATATATATACAGCTACATATATATATATATATATACAGATATATATATATATATATATATATTGAAATGCTCGATTCAGCTATATCATATTTATGAAATTCCTGTGAATATACGGTGAGTATATATATATATATATAGATTATATTATTAGTACTATTCTTATTACTTAACAATATTACTGTACCTGGCCTATATGCTCCGATGCAGATGGTGCAGGCACACGTGGAGCCGGCAGTGGTGGGCTTGATTGTGACCTCACCCGCTTTACTTTCTTCGTTTTGCGCGAGTATCTGAGCCTGGGCCCAGCCTCACTTCATGAAGTGTACAAAATCACAGCCTGGTCGTGCAACGAGTCTTGCCTGCAATTTATATACTGTTGTTCTGAGATAGTACCACAATGTGCCCGGATGTAATAATTTCCAGTTCTTTCCGTACCGAAAATATACGATACTGTATTTAACTCTCAACATGCCTAGCAATGATTAAACATTCAAACTGTTGTAGATATACCCAGGGGGTATCGTAATGCATGTCTGTAGATCGATTTAGTATACTGTTGGCCTGCCTTGCCTCAGATACTGCTGGGTGGCATTCACCCGGCTCTCGACTACCAGAACAATCCTCTGCCGGCACGTTTGGGTGCGAAAGCCGGCCGTCCCATTGCAGGTGTGTCGATGCAATTCAGTGATTATTATTATTATTATTGTTAAAATGAGTCTTATCAGTACCTTTATAATTATTGTTATTATTATTATGAAAATGTGGAATGTACCTCGCATGTGGTAGATCAATATATATATATATATATAGATAGATAGATAGAGATTTTTGTCTATGGTACCACGTACAAATTATATTGAAGGTGGTGCTCACAGCATCACCGAGTTTCGGGGCGACTGGAAGTGGCACAAACAGGTTTGGAGCCTCACATGCTGGTGGGGTGCCAAGTCGGTTTGCCATCTTTGTACGGCTGAGCTCAATGGCCCTGCAAGGCAACTGCTGGCTGATTAATAGTAACTTTTTTCTTGTGATACTATGTATGATGTGTAGTAATACATATATATATGTATATATATATATATATGAATAATTTATTATTATTAAACCCATCTACAATAAAAGAATAATAGATGTACCTATATTTATAGTAAAATATATTTAAATATATTGTTAATGAATGACGATCTGCCTGCTAAGACGTAACCAGCCGCATAAGATTGGCTTTCGACTCGTCTAATTTGATAATATTACAAATGATGATTTAATAATAATACTAATAATAATAATGTTATTATTAATAACACTACGAAGAAGCATATGTAAAAAAAATAATATCATATACTACATGCGCTCAACTCAGGATTACGTAATACCACTGAACATGTACAGGTGGTCGAATTTCGAGACGGTCCATCCCGAGCGCACCAGTACAGACTTGATCAACAATTTCATGGCGACTGTCAACCCGATGTGTGCCATAGCTGGCTGGGATGTGAAGATGATACGCTACTGCTCTATGCATTGCAGCAACATTGGCATATTGATTATATTGAATGGGAGTTTGGTAGACCTCCTCTGTGAGAGGTCATTTTTCGGCACGAGCAAGGAAGAGCAGCTAAAGGAGTTAACAACTAGGATGCGACGCTGGGCCAGTGCCAACCAGATCGAGCACAGCCAAGTTTATATCACCAAGGGCATGCATCGCAGGGACAAACGTGGTTATCCTGAATTGCTGGGGAAAGCGTACAACAACAGAGTTCTGCTGGCTTTCCTGGCAGTTTGCATGGCAACCCTGGCCGCCAGCTGTGATGATGTCGAGGTGCAGCTTGCTTCATCTGTGGCTCAGCTCATGAGTGTTTGGCATGATCGCTTGGAGCGTGCACCTCGCTATCTTACGGCTTCAGAGGCGGGATTCCTTGAAGAGACAAGCCTTCGATTCGTGAGGCAGTATAAACGCCTGGCCATTCTTGCTTATGTTGACGGCAAAGTTCGATGGAAGCTCATCCCTAAACTACACGCCTGGAGGGATTTGAATCTTTGCATGAAGGCTGAACTTTACAACTGCCGCTACTTTCATGCATTCCTTGATGAGGACAACATGGGGGCTGTGAAACGAATAGCTCGTATGTGTCATCGCAATCTTCTTGAGCTGCGAGTGCTGTCGAGATTGCTTTTGCGGTACAAGCATGTGAAGCGTGGGAGCTAAAAAGAAGCCATTCCTTGCTTTCGATTAGTGTTTCAGTCCTTTGTCGGCCGCGCGGGCATGCCGCATGCGAAATATATCAGGGGTTTCATTGTTATTTGCTAACATTGAGGTCCCGACAGGAAGATAGGGCCCGGGTCTGCTATGATTTCGGGCCGAAATCCGTGTGATGCACAAACATGTCCTTATTTTAGCTCAGCATCTAGTTGTATTCAGAACAACCCACCCGAAGGGAAATCCATAGAAAGACAAGCTATATAACCATGAAAATCATGGAATTCGTAAGTGTTCTGAAATCAGGCACTCGGAGCTCTACAGACCCCAAGTGCTTAAAAAAACATAACTTCCACAGAAGTATGCGTCATAAGCACACTTAGGATGGCCAGGGTTTGGTGTCCCCAAACCTTAGCGGCATGGTCCGCCGAACGGGTGACCCAAGCGGGCGCAGACGGTAGGCCCAGCACCCGCAGCATGTCATTGCTGTAGTGGCAGCAGTTATGTCTCAGGATATCATAGTCAGGCCCCTGCCATGATTCACTTAAGGATTCTAGGGCTGCATCTACCTCTTCCTGTGTCAAGGCCGTGTGGCCCATGGGTATCGCCTCACGGAAGCTGTGAGCCTCGCATTGCCGCGGGCTGCAGGTAAAAACCCCGGTGCCTTCGTCGCAGCCTCCATAGGACCACTCTTCGCCATTGATCTCCACAGCCGCATGGTATGCCCCGGCACCAACTGCCCGAAATAGCTTGTTGGCGTTCTTGAGTATCGGATGTCCACTCACATCATATATGTTAAGTATGACGGGTATTCCAGCAGCCATGGCAAGGCACAAAGGCAACTCAAAACAGATGAGTCTGCCACAAGACTTCTTCGGACATCACCGGCACTCTAAGCCAATGCTCGACACATCTTCACTCAAAGGGCCATTCCTCATATAGAAGCCCTACATTCTACTATAAAGTAGAAGCCAGAAAGTTGGAATATGATTATCCTAAACCCTTTATGGTAAATTATAAGGTATCCTACCCTGAAACCATATTCCAACTTTCTGGAGTTCCCTTTATAGATACTTTGGAACCTTGGGGTCAGGAGCCTTTAAAGGCCCGAAATCACAAACCTCGAAGGGCTTGCGGAGAGTAGTGAGCATGGCACCCCTTCGTGACCCTAAGTGTGCATGTACCCCAACATGAACATACTTTGGGGCCAATGTGCCTCCATAGGGAGTACTTTAAGGCTGAAGTATATACTAATTGGGCACACCCTTATACCCAAAACCCTTATAGAACCCCTTAAAGGAACCCTTCTACCAACTGGGTACAAACTATGAAACCCTATACTATTTGACTGTAACCCCTAAACCCCTAAAGCCCTAACCCCTAAACCCTGCACAGAATCTACTATTTGCTTAAGAACCCCCAAAAAATAAAAAATATATTCCTTATGGGGGTAATATAGGGATTATTTTTTTTATTTTTTGGGTGTTTCTTAAGCAAATAATAGGAATCCTGAAGCCTCCCTAAACCCTTACGGGCGCCCTTAGGGGCTCCGCTGGTTCAGGCCTGAGAGTCCGCGGTCTCCTGGTCCGGGTCCGGACTCAGGCACAGCTGCACCTCGGGGCTTTAGGGCTTTAGGGGGTTACTTTAGGGTCTTAGGGGTTTTTAGGGCTTTAGGGCTTTAAGGTTTTGAGGGCTTTAGGGCTTTAGGGTCTTAGGGCTTTTAGGGTTTTAGGGTGTTGGGTTTAGCATGGTGGGTTCAGGGCTTGGGTTTAGGGTTGAGTGCTTGGGAAAAGTTTAAGGATGAGGGTGGGTTGAGAGTTTGGGGTTTGGGTTTAGGTTCGGGGTTGCATGGTGTGGCCAGTGAGGGAGTTTGGCTTAAGGCTTACAGGGTGTTGGGTGGAAGGTTTAGGGCTGTGATAGACTAAGCTAAAATAGTGGGGGCATACATAGGCTGGGTTGAAGCGGGTTTATGAAGGGTTTTAGATTGAGGCCTATTCTCAGGGAAAAGCTGCATATTTGGAGACCGGAAGGCGGTACTCCCTAAACCCTAAACCCCCTAAACCCTAAACCCACTGAACACCTAAACCCTAAACCGTAAGGCGCACGTCTTGAGTCGAATGTTGCCTCCCACCTTCTTTGTCGGACCTGCGGGTTGGTCTGAGGGGGACATGCTAAGAGCCAGGAATCAAGCCGTGAGGGTTTAGCTTTAAGGGTTTAGACTGTAGATTCTACTGTAGATCGTGAGGTTTAGGGCTTTATGTGGCTTAAAACTGGAGAAAGCATCCTAAGTCCGGAACCCCTGAGCTCTAGACACTGCTCATCTCTATTCTAAACCCTACGGCCTAAAGTCAAGACCCTAAACCTTGCATCCTAAATCTTAAACCCCAACCCCTATTCGCTAGACCACCCTTGTCCTTTTAGAAACAATAGACAGAGCCCTATACCTATATCCCTTAGTAGGAATTATTTAAGAAGGTCTACTAGCCGGTCTGTTTATCCTTTTGGGGGGGGAACCATGAAAAAGGACAAGGCTAGCCGCTAGACCCTAGACCCCACCTTAAGGCCCTAAACCTTGAAGTACGCACTTCAAGGCCTAAGTCTCGACCCCTAAGTGTCCATGTATCCAAGCAGTATATAGGGTTTAGGGTTTAGGGTAGCCTTAAAGTACTCCCTAAATAAGTACTTTGGGCCAGCTATGTACGTGGAGCATGAGGCCCAGCCACCAACACTCGAGATCACGAAGCCCTATCAACCCGGAGATCCTAAACTATGCAACTCCCAAGCCAGACAGCGGAAGCATGAAGAATGACAAGTTGCTTTTCTTTTGGCAGTGGGAACAAACACTGGTACTAATCTGTCCGATCCCTCAGCATACCAACAACAGTGTAGAACACCCTTGGAACCCGTTTCCTGCTCGCAACCTGCAGCCCTAAACCGTAAAGCCTATATGGGCACCTAATATTTAGGGTACCCAAAAAGGGACCATAATTTTGACAACCACCCATATTTATTACCCTCAGAAACACTCCGGAGCACGAACTCAGCTCCTCGATGGAAGCGCACCACGTCCGGGAACGAAGTCTCTGACAGCCTCCAGTCGGGTTCGGGATTTAGGGTTTCGTACTGCATGGTTTAGGTCGCTAAGACGGGTTCTACTGCTAGGGTGTTAAAAGGGGGCTTCACGGAGAGTGTGGAATTATTGTCTGTTTTGATTTAGCGGCCTGTCTAACACGAATATTTGTCCTCGGGTTCAATTATAACGACTATTTAATATTTGGCCCTAAGGTGACACTACGAGCTAACCAGCGCCGCTATGCTAGGGTTTAGGATGGATGATCATGAAGATGGCTACAACTATGGCTAGTGAGCGTCGAGCGTAGACCGTATTGCCCCTTACATGCCCCACGATGAGGCTGTTCGTCATCATGGTAATGGTGATGATGGCAATGCTGATGAGACAGTGGTTGCCGATGACGAAATGCGATGATGCCGACGATGATGATGTGAGTGCTGATAACGGTGATAACGACGACGACGACGATGACGAGGACAAGCGCGAGCTTGTTGATGATGGCTGCGCCTTCCGTCATGACAAATCTAGTGGCTGATGGTTGTCTGGGTGGGTGAGGGTTTGGGGGTGTAGGGCTCCGGCTATGATTTAAGAGCAAGTCGGTAGTGACCGGTAGTGTTTAAGAAGTGTGAAGCCACCCTAAACCCTAAACCCTATTATACTGGAAAACGGAAGAAAGGCAAATCAGCAATTGGGGTCCCCAGCTGGAAGCTGGAGTATAGGGCCTGACCAAGCGTAATTTGGCGTTGTTCGATAATCTACGACACTTGTATACGGACTTTACTCTGAAGGAAAAACACGACTAAACCCTAAACTCTGAACCATAAACCTAAAACCCTCTACCCCAAACCCTAAAACCCTAAACCCCAAAATCCTATATTACGGTCGATGAGACAAGGAGCACCAGTGTGCATGATTCGGAGCTAGGGGCAGCCTGGACAGACTGCCGTTCCGGTTTAAGGTTCAGGGTTTAGGGTTTAGCGTTTAGGGTTTAGGGTTCAGGGTTTAGCGTTTAGGGTTTATAGGGTTTAGGGTTCAGGGTTTAGCGTGTAGGGGTTTAGAGTTTAGGGTTTAAGGTTTAGTTCTTTGGGGTTTAGGGTGGCGGGGTTCAGGGGCCATTCCGCAGCAAAGGGGCCTGAAAATTTAGAATCGGGCCTTTGCCTCGATTATACTTGTTACGGTTTAGGGTTTAGGGTTTAGGATTTAGGGTTTAGGGTTTAGGATTTAGGGTTTAGGGTTTAGGGTTTAGGGTTTAGGGCTTAGGATTTAGGGTTTAGGGTGCAACAACAGCAGTTCTAGTGGATCACTCTCTTCCGGGATTGACCAGACACCCCCTGAATAGTGAAGGCACTTTGGGGCCAATCCTCCCTGCCCTTTAACACCTAACTTGACCTAATTTGCATTACAAGTAGGGGAGTTCAGGAGCAAGACAAGAGCAGGAGCAAGAAGAGCAGGAACAACCGCAAGAGCAGCAGCGAGAGCAGAAGCATTAAACTCCGCAAGATCAGCAGCAACAGCAAAAGAGAGAGCAGAAGTAAGAGCCAGAGCAGGAGCACAAGAAGGATCAACAGCAAGAGCAGGATCACTCAAAAGTGAAACTAGAAATGAAAACTAGCCGCAATAATGAAAACGGTTTTGGGTGGGTTTCGATACTATGGACGTGTTGGGATTACAATGCAAAAGCTTGAAAAGTGGATGCAGGTTTCAGGTGGGTTCCTATACTAGAGATTTGATACGGCAGCCATGACAGCTTATGAGCACTGCTAATATGGATGAACCCCTTGCAGTACAAGCCAGAAAGTTGGAATATGATTATCCTAAACCCTTCTATGGTAAATTTTAGGGAATCCTACCCTGAAACCATATTCCAACTTTCTGGAGTTCCCTGTAAAGCCTGAACCCTGAAGTGCCCACCCTAAACTCCAAACGCCAAACCGTTCGGCTCTTGCCAGTGAGTGTCCTTTTCCGTGGCACCGATTTTTGTTGTTTCAGGCCCCGGTCTTTGCAAGGGGCACTCCTCATTATTCGGGTTTAGGGCTTAGCATTTAGGGCCTATAGGGTTTAGGGCTTAGGAATTAGGGGCGTAGGGTTGAGGGCTTAGGGCATTAGCTCGAGCTCCGTGCTGCCTTTAGATGTCTCTGAACGCTTACGGGCAGCCCTAGTCACAAGTCCTTTTAGATAAGATTCCTGCCACTTAGCACCCCTGTATGAAGGGGCCAGAAATACAGGACAGACAAGCTCAGCGGAAGGGGAATGCTCTTAAACTGCATAAAGCCTGGGGCTTATGGCTAAGGGCTTAGGATATAGGGAGCTAGTTAGGCTTAAGGCCTAGTGTTCAGGCTAGAGAAAGCCATGTACACAAAAAACAAGACATCTTTTGATTTGGTGAATATGTAACCCAAGGGGTCCATATATACTACCACTATGGAACCAGGTCCCAAAAGACCATCCCCGTTATGGTTTTGGGGGTCTAATTCCATACTAGTAGTGTATATGGACCCTCTTGGTAAGCTGCTTGGAAGAGTCCTAGCACCCATCCCTTCGCCGTGGCACCTGCACATCAATCTCCAAACCCACAGCCACGTAATCCTCCTGACGGTTTCGGGCTAATTAGTCACCGGTTCGGTTGAGGGTTTAGGGTTTAGGGCCGGCTCAGGGATAAGGGTTGTAGGTACTTAGGATCAAGTGGGTTTGGGGTTCTAGGGCCTAGGGCTTACGGCTTAAGGCTCGCTGTCGAGATGGGCTTCAGGATTAATTATATGTTTCGTGGAAGTCTACATGGGAGCTGTTCCGATTCCGCTCCCATTTTGTCAGAGAAACATGGCCAGCATCCCGAAAGCCTAAACCCTAAACCGCCAGCCCTAATGCGTAAAATAGAATTTGTAGAGGTTCACAGGCTAACCCATCTGGCAGGCCCAATCTTGTCGACTCCGAACCCTTAACCCGATAACAACCATGAACCGTCAGCCCTATATCAACCCAACACCCTGCAGCCTGAATCAACCCTCACACCAAACATTCTACAATTTGCAGTTATACTCATGTGTGTATATTTATTCTTCTTTTATGTGCAGATCTATATATAAGTATGTACAAATAAATACATAAATAAATAATGAAATAAAAACATATCTAAATATATATATATATATATATATACACATACATATACGCATGTATGAATGACGCACGACGTGCGTTATTCGCGCGGTTCTGCAGGGCCATATAGCCACTATAGTGGCTTATAGCTTCCAAAGGGGCTTGGAAATTTGGGTTCACATCTTCGGATTTTGGCGCTTTCGGACATATGCTTCTCTCGAGGCTGGTTTGGCACGTCCTAACCGACATCAAGCTGCTTGAAATTTGGACCACGACGCGCCCAAAATAGACCAGTCCAGATACAAGCCAAAATCTTGACACCTAGACCACACACCGTAAACCGCCCTCCCTGCAACAACACCGCAAACCCTTAACCGAAGCTGTGTACTCAGGATCCTTTCTTATTTAGATCCCAGGGTAAAAGGAGGGACCCTTAATAAGGACCCCTAGGTCCCTAGGTATATGCCCTTCATATAGCTATTATATACCCATTATATAGCCCATAAGAAGGGGTCCCCATTAAGGGTCCGTCCTTTTCCCCTTTGATTTAGAGGATCGACAGTCCCGCAGGCAGCGTCCTGAAAAAGGAGGATTCGCATGGTGTCCTTGTCCTTGTTCGAAAGCCTTCCACACCGTTCTTTGAGATCTGTGCGGACGTTACTGAGGTTTAACATTGGCAAGGCTACTCCTTAGGGTGGGTGTTCCAAGTATCGCATACTACGCACTCCCCTTCCAGAAACAAACTGACATACTCATGAAGATTAAGACCTCTATAGTAGGGGTTGATGTGGGAGTTTAGAGGGCGTTGCTTGGTTCGGGGGTCTTTGGTTCAAGGGGTTAGGGCCTCCCCAAACCCTGATCCCCGACTTAGCTGAAACGGTTAAACCACATGTAAGCTTTACTTCTCAAGCAGTTTGGGGCAATAGGGCTTCTGGCGTTTGAGGTGCAGGGCCTAGGGTAGACAATCTGATAACGTAAGCTAGAGACCTGCGAAGAGGAAGCCGAGGCACCTCCCTCCTAAACCTAAAGTCTAAAGCCCTGAAACCCTAAACGCCTAATTAAACAGCTAAACCTTAAACTCGAAAAACCTTCAAACCCTAAACCCCTAAAAACCCCAAACCCTAAGCCCCAAAACCCCCAAACCTTAATAAACCCCAAAGCCCCCAGTGCAGTCCAAAAGGCAGTTCGCATCTGGCTTCTGGTCGGATTAATTGGTCTCTGAGCCTGCGCGAGATATGGGGGTTTAGGGGGCTCCTGCTTTGAGGTTTTAGGGGTCATGCAGGTAACCCTAAACCCTAAACCCTAAACCCTAATTAAACCCTAAACCCTAAACCCTTGTGAACTCCCTAAGGAGTCCCACTGGTAGACGAAACCTCTGCAGCAAATGTGATCCCCAATCGCAATGCTGAAGAGATAAAAGAAGAAGAGCAGACTCCGTCTGCCAAAACTCTGAAGACGTGTCCCCACGCAGTCACGAAAGCGGCCTCGCCCTTTTGCCAGCACTCAAGCGACCATGCGTCACCTAACGCCACTGCCCTCCCACCTCTGGTCCTTGGGCCAGAGAGCAATCGAGATGTACATGTCCAACGGCAGATCCTGCAGCGGATTCACACTGACCCAATTTTATTGGGACAAGTGCATCCCGATTGCCTGTACAGTCAAGGGAGTCGTAATGAAAAAGGACTCGTTCCACGGAGGACAGGGGCAAGCAACTCTCAAAGTCAAGTCTGTGCTGCGGCGGGCTGTGATAACCAAGCAATGGCTTGCTTTCTCTGTGCATCCTTCTCCAGGGCTTGAGTTGTGTCGTAAAGTTTGAAGCGGCCTTGAGCCAACACTGTACGCAACAAGGTGGCGTCCATGGCCTTTGTCAGACAATCTGCAGCCTGGAGTGTTGTCGGAATCCAGCGAAAGCTGGCGTTCTCAGAACACCTTTGCTTGATTAACAGCACCTCAAGCGTAGTCCTGTGCTCTTCGCATGCGGGCATCGCCAAGCGTGTTACAAGATCGAATAGTGACTTGCAATCAGTCACGATGATTGCCTTCTTAAGTTTCTTATAACTTTCCTCAGGGCTCTGCCAGCGAAACTCAGGCACATGAACCACGCCCCACAGAGCACGCATCCAGCCTAACATGTCAACTGCCTTTGACATCGCATATGCCTCAGCACTTAGGGTGGACCTAACAACCCGAGGAATTTTCTTAGAGGTCCAAACCAAGGGAGACAGGGGAGCTTCCTGGTTCTTATCTAGCCTACTGTCAGTGGCACAGACAAGGGCTCCCTGATGCGAATTCAGGTTCTTGGAAGATGCGAAAGACGCATCGCCGAATGACACAAAGGTTATATCCTCAGGGCAGATAGGCAAGTAGTGAATACACACATCGGCTTGCTCTTGGGTCTCGCGCAGAACCTTGTTGGCAAGTAGCAACGTCTGCACAGTTGCTGTTGTGACTTGCGTCTGCAATTCACCAAGCTTCGCCGCCATGTCGGGTCGGGTGTGTGTTACTGCGTACTGGAGGCTGCCAATGATACCTCTAAGACGGGATCTTTCATTTTCCGTGACGGGTGCAGCAGGTTGCATCCTACGGGCACGTCCTATGTCCAGTTGGGGGATGTTCTTAACGTACTCACCCTGAGAGGCTCGGATAGAGAAATCCGGAAATTGCTCAAGATGGATGCCAGTGAAAACGAAGTTGCGGTGTTTGCGGCTGCCAAAAGGAAGTTTAGTCTGCAAGGATTGTATCTTTTGGCTAAACACTGCATCGCCCCCGCAAACCCCATCATCCACATGGACTCCCAGAATCCCATTGAGCACCGAGCCGGTGTAAAGCAGAAACACACATGGCTCTAAGGGATGTCGCACAAAGCCCAACTCTAGTAGCTGTTTGCTAAGCTCCTTATAGAACAATAAGGGGGCGTCTACCCTTCCATACGCATTGCCCAACAGTTGGCACACCTCATTGTCCTTTAACTGTAGGGCTTCGCGAAGTTCCTTGGGAGGATCCATGGCTAAAGGATTGTTTTCATCGGCCTTACCACGCAAGAAAGCTGTCTTTATGTCGAAAGAACTCAGCTCGAACCTTTTGGAGGCTATGGTTTGCAGGACCAAAGCACGACCCTCCTTTGACAACGTGGGAGCATCCCGAGAAACATCCACTAACTTTGGGTCTTGGTAGCCTAGGACCACTAGTCTCGCTTTGGCTTTACGCTGGGTGTCTCCGGGCTCAGGATTCTTCCAAGTTAAGATCCAACGGCTACGTAAAATTTGTTCGGGATTCAGGCGCTGGCGAAGGACTGATTTTATGGCTGAAGTTTGAATCCAACACTGAATTTCCTTTTGTTTAGCTTGATTGAAGAGCTGGAGCTCAGCAGCCGAGAGGTCCTTCACATGTACCTCAGCTCTCGCTCTCTTGCCCACAGTGGCAAGATAAGAAAGCTGTTCCGGAGCTCGCTCTTGAGCCCATCTCCGTAGGTCCTTGGCCTTCATGGGAATTTCCAAGCAGAAGGCTTGCTGCTCTGAACACTGCAAGGGCTGTTCAACATATGGCAGATTATCCTCGGCCAAAGGAGGACCACAGGCAGACGTGCCTGACAGGACAGTCGTGAAAGTATGAAGGTCTCCATCACACGCTTCAGTGGAGAGCAGCACAGACTCTTCAGGCAATTCCTCAGGTACTAGAGTACAGGCCATGGCCTCAGTCAGAAGACCTTCATCGGAGTCGGGTACTGGAACATCGCTCGGCAGAGGATCAGCGGGAGTAACAGAAGCATTTGGATTATCGTTTAGAACTATAGAAGGTGCAGCGTGGTCAGGCTGTCGCTCAACCTCGCGCTCGACTTCACGATTGTCGGTTGGTGGATCAGGATTACCGGAGACCTGGGGAGTCAGCTCTTGTTCGGGCTGAATCAGGTCATCATCAGGAATTGGGTTTGTCGCAGGATTAGATACGCTGGGCACTGGGGTAGGCAAAGGAACCAAGAGGTCTCCGCTGGAGCTTGCAGGTGCAGGCGCATTGGTGACAGGAGCACTCGATTCATTTCCGGTCAAATCTACAAAGGAGCTCGCTCCTCCAGCATTCTTATGAGGATCGGAAAAATCTGCTGTGCTCAACTGCTGCCATTCGCGCAAACTGGCAGGTCGAAGGTTCTCTGGGGCACATCGCAGGATGATCGAACCGTGGGAAATCCACGTGATTGATTGGCCCTCCTGGGAAATAACACGGGCTGGTCCATGCCATCGGCCAGCAGCTAGGCGATTTGGAGACCCTTTACGCATCCAGTATAACACCCAGTCTCCAGGCTTATAGGGACCCCGAACTGGATTACTTCGGCGGAGAAGTGCTCGACGGATGGTCTGACTATTATCAGCTTCCCAGAAAACCTGTCGGGCACGGCAGCGGACATCAAGTCGTTGCCTGTGGAGTTCGGCTTCCAGGTCGGATCCCTCTACAAGCGCATGAGATGTTAAGTCTTCATCTGACGTGAGGCTACCAGGAACCCGCAAGGACTTGCCTAACACTATCTGCTCCGGGGCATACCCTCTGTGGCGCATCAGGGCATTCTTTGCCTGGAAGGCAAGCAACAGTGCTTGATCGAACAGTGCATCGTTGGCAAGTGGGCTCTGGGCGTCTAACCTAGCCAACATGTCCTTAACTACATCCCCGTGTCTCTCAACCCGTCCCCTTTGCCAGGCGGCCGCGGAAAGAAATGTTTTTACATTGATTCCCTGAAAGTACTCTAGAATCTCTTCCGATCTAAATTCTCCAGCGGGATCAACATAAACCTTACGGGGATTTCCAGCCCATGATAGCCAAAACTCTGCCAACGTCGTAGTGGCATGCTTGGTTTCTCTAGAGACAGCCCTTCTTCCAAGGTGAAAACAGCTTGCTTCGTCAATGGCGTGAATGACGTATGCCTTATACCCCGATCTCCCCTTAAAGAAGAAACCATCTATCCCAATCAAGTCATTGAACTCAAGTGGCTCGGGCAACTTACCGGGTCTCTGGTGTCGAGGTTCAGTGGACTCTAAGCAAGCGTCACATTGGAAATCTAGCGCGGCATCCACAAGGGCTTGGGCTTCTCCGGCGGCTTTCAGGTGTTTGGCTAGGGTCGTTGGGGCAGGGTGTCCCAAGTTGTTATGGATCCGAACTAACTGCGTTTTCTGATCAGCATCTAGATTCCTAAATGCCGGACCATGCAGAGGCACCGGAGGTGGAGCCCATCCCTCAAGGTCAGGCGGTGAGGCTGAAACGGCAGGTACACTCGAACCAGGGCTCCCAGCAGGAGGCTCCTGCACAGCGGTCTCAGCTTTACGTCTACCGAACACAGTTATCAAGATTTTGTAAACCCCAATCCTAAGCTTCTTGCGATCTGACCCCATAGTAGTGCGATCCTCGTTGCCTAGGCAGAGAAGTTGCTTACTAGCTTCTCGGGAGCCGAGACTCACGCGTAAGGGAGCTACGGTAGCCGGGAGGGCCCCTAAGGGAAGCTGCAGGTTCCGAAGATTGCGCCCCGAGAAAACCTGAAGTACGTCTATCCCTCTGGGCTCTAGAGCTCGTTGGACTTCCTTAGCTAGCTCGCTCTGAGGAGGCACCAGTGCAGAGGCTTGCCCAGAGCTCCGTTGAGCAAGCTCAAAGACAGGCTCCCACACATCCCAGGGCAACTCAGACATGGCTTGCAATGGCTCAGTGAGCCGGCGGATTGGATGACTGCGCTGGCTGCCAGCAGCCGGTTCAGCGGCTTCTCGCTTCTGGGTCACAGGTCTTTCTATCCTAAGGGGATCCCCAACCGAGGTCTTAAATCGCTTACGGGTCAGGGGAGGCTCGGCATTGGCAGCCATTGCAGCATCTATGTTGCTGGACACAAGGTGTCCTGCAACATGGCTCGCGAATCCTTCGCAAAACGATCCGGCAAATTGCGACATGGGGAGACCCTTCAGGAGTCTTCCAGCCAAGGTATGGTGACGATGCTGTTGGTTGCATTGCTGGGACACGAAGCTCTTTGTCAAGTCTTGGGAGGTACTACATATCAAAGTGCGTTTACGAATGGGCTTACCGGCTGGGGTCTGTAGACCGAAGGCGCACATGTCTACCGAGGCCACATACGTTTTGCTCTTGAGGTCAGGGAAGGCTTTTATGGATGAGGTTGGGAACAGGCCGGGCAACTCAAGATGGAAGTCCCGACGGTGTTGCCTTTGCCAATGGCAGAGCTGCGCACATACCTGATAGAGAGCCTGGTCTTTCTCACGCTGCTGGACATGTTGATCATGCTTTTCCGAGCTCTTAGCAGCATTAAGAGAGGACCAGGCACTCCAGCACCGAGCGTCTGGGGTCACCCAGATGTGTCGCGGCTGAGTCTGTTGCACCACGGCCCACAATTGTTGCTGGCCTTCTTTTGTCCGCAGATCGCCATCCTCGCTAGTAAACCGCCTAGTTTTACCACCTAGCTCCCTTACCCTAACCGAAAGACGACTATCGGCATGCTCGGTGATTTCCAACAGATCAAGCTGGGGTTCAGGAGGCAGACTTAGCAGCTTCTGGGACTGATGGTGCAAATCTTCAGCTCTGCGAACCGCTTCTTGGCAAGCACAAGCGGCAGCTTCGGCTGCCTGAACCAGAGGTGATTCTGAACTTGGCACATTGATTTTCTCAGCCACTTGGCTCTCTTGGGTGGTACTGGAAGGAAAGATTGCTGCGCCTCTCGGAAATTTGCGAAGCAACGAGAATCCATGTCGTTTAAGCCAGCGGACCTGGGGAGACTTCAGCTTGTGCCGGGGCTTCAGAGAGAAACCAATGGCCACAATTCGATCACCGGTCCAGGGCTGAGTGGCATGCCAGACATGCGGATTAAGGTAGATCACCCCTTTAGTGAGAGGTATCGCCTCTCCACATACCATTTGTCCGTTACAACTCACCTTAGTCCCTCTAGCTTGCTCCCCATTTACCCCCTGAGCTGTCCAAACTTCCCCCCCAACTGGGGGCACCTGGATTGGCACGATCATGTTGGTAGCTCCTATCTCATTAAAACTGTCTCTATGGGGACTGGTTTGGACGTTACAGGACACACCAACAGTGGTACATGGATTATCGGGATTAGTCAGCCTCATCATTCGGGTAAGAACCCGGGTCAACCACGGATACTTCAAGGATACCTTGGTCACACCGACTATTCCTCCGTGCATATACATGCCAAACATCAGGTATGCAGGGTCTCTTGACGAGTCCCGGGGCCGCACGTGATCATTGCTCATTCGACTCGAAGTTTGTTGTTGAAGACTAGCCCACGGAATCTTCTGAAGAAAGTGCTTAATTCGCAAGGCACTAGCCTCTTCATGAACTAGGGACCTTGCCTGATTTTCTATTTCCCCGAGAGCTATCGTGAACCTAGGCTTGAAATCCGCGTCTTGCATGTCACACACGTGTAACTCCATCATGGAGGGACCTGTGGAGGCGTGATCTGCTGGAGAGCCACCAGCACTTGCTCCATCACATGCTCGAGGTGAGTGAGGCGGGTGGCCATCGCCGTCACCTGGTTGTCGAGAGCTGGTTCGCTGTTGTCCTCGACGAGAGCCCAGTGGTCTGAGCTCGCCACCGCCGTCGACGCGGTCGGGCGAGGGGCGCTCTTGGATTTTGGGCGCGTCGCCATTGTCGATCTCGGTGGCTCGGCCGCCGCTGGGTCGCCAACGAGGCCTTCCGCGATCTCCTCCGCCTGAGCAGTGTACTTCTCTATGAAGAGGAACAGGATGCGGTGGCACCTCTTTTCGCTGGTTGACATGTGGGTGATGAACCATGTCACCCAATCTTTCTCCTTTTCGATCACCTCCATGTACTTGCGACCGCGCATGGCCTTGCCAAAATCGATCACGAACTCGCCGAGCTGCTCGACTGTCATGGCAGACAGCTGTTCCATGCTGTATGCCAGCGTGGGGTCGGATAGCCGAGCGAACCTCGAGGCTAGGCTGTCGGGAGCTTGCGACATGACCGTCACTCGGAAGGTGGTCGGATCGGAGTGAGGCGTTGGATGCAAAACAGACTTTGAGAGTCGCCGTGGCTGCTGTTTTGGCGCACGGCATGGGAGCAGAGTGGTTTGGGCTCACAGGATTACCCTTCGGCATCTGCGGTGTAACATTAACTAACCCCGATTCTTCACGGGATGCTAAAACAACTGAATTCTCGATCTCGGGGGGAGCGGTCTTAGTACTCTGGGCTATACAGGGTGGAGTTGGGACACACTCTTCCACAGCTGTCGATGCATGCATAGGCGGGCTGGCGCACAACTGCTGAGCGGCTGACTCTTCATTTGCAACCTGGCATTGTTGTTCCTGATCGGCACAGAGCTGTGCCAGGTCAATCAGATACAGACCTGTTGGTCCGGTGCTCAGCGAAAGGCGTCTCTTCAGGCGTTCCAGATAGCAAGAATCACGGGTGGTATCAATGATACCTCCCAGCTGCTTAATGGCTCGCTTGCTGAACAGTAGTGGCGTGCTACCTGGAACAACTTCTATCCCTAGCCACAAAATCTGAGTGGATTGCCCTGTGCGGAACGGCAGGAGGAGCCGCTGCTCGCTAACCAATGTCTGGTTATTACCGAACCTGAAACGAACCGAGCTGCGGGTCACTCGCACCTGTTGTCGGGTGGCATCACTCAGCTGGCGAAGGAAGGCAGGCACCAAATGCTTTCCCATAACACAACAGCTAGCCCCGGTATCCAAAATGGCTTGTACGGGCTCATTAGCTAGTAATACATGCTTCTCAGATTGATTGCTTTGGGAAATGATTGGTGCAACCTTCCATCTCAGAGGCTTAAGCGTTTTTGCAGGGATCCCGGGCTCAGTCCATAAGTCCTTCCCAACGCTCGGAAGCCTGACATGTGGCGGTTTTCGAAAGTATTTGCGGTCTTTCAGGTTCTGGACTAACCTACTGAGGTTGCGAAGGGCACCAGGTTTTGGGCTTTGGTCGATCGCGAAATGGGCCTCATGCAAGGTGTAGGCGTCCTCAGGCACTTCGGTGAGCAGAGCTTGATGTCCCGATGTCGAAGAGGAAGTGGGATCATAGGTCTCCTGAACCACCTCGGCAACTGTGGTGATCGCTTCACCCTTGCCGCCGCTCATGGATCCTGGGCGTCCGTACTTGGGACACTCTGCTTTCCAATGGCCCTTTTCGCCGCAAGCGCGGCACACGCTGCGCGCTATGCGCGCCAAGAGCTGGTCTCGGCCGCTTTTGCCGCGGCCCTTGCCCTTGTTGAACCCACGACCAGTCTTGCCGCCTTTACCGGAGCTGCCCACTGGCCAGAAGCCTCTGGACTTTTTCTTGGCCAACAAGCGCGACCTCGCCTCCAAGTAGCTCACCAAGGCCTCTTGCAGGTCTGCTGTCTCCTGGAAATATCCTTCTAATTCCTCCTCAAAAGTCTAGCGCGTCCTGGTCTTCGATGGCCAGCATGGCTTCTAAGAACTCCGGCTCCAACTCATTGTCGACATCATCGCCTCCGGCAGGTCCTGGGACCAAGGCGGCCTGGTAGGCCCTCTCCGATTCTTCTGGAACACACTCCTCCAAGGTGTTAGCATCATACACCTTGGTCCGTTGATTGGCTCTCTGTCCTTGAAATTCCCCGAAGAACCGCGATCCCAGGAGCCGTATTGAAGACTTC